GTGTAACGTATTTTGCCACTTTGAAATTGCTTCATATACCAGAATTCAAATCCTGCTACTGTTCAATGTTCGTTCCAGTTTGCCTTGAACCATAAAGTGACATTTGCACTAAGTCTAGTTCTAGTTCTTAGTAGTTAGATCAGTTCCTAACTTACTTAGCTTAGTTCAATTTCCTAATAGTTAAATCATGACAAAAACAGTAATTTTTCATTGTGGGTTGTATACAGTAAAGCCTTATTTATTCAGAAATGGTTATTTTAAATCCACTTAATTCAAAAAATTTTCACGGTCTGGTATTGCACGATGTAAGTTTGAGCGGATAATTTGAAGCGGCAGTCAGCACCAGTCCGGTGGAATTCCAAAACTTTGGGTGCTGTGCCAATTCTCGATTTTGATTTCGCCGCAAATCCGCGGAAGCAACAGCCGTTAGAGTCACAAGGCAGTGCAATGTAGCGATACTAATAAGTGGCAGCTGAAGCACCCCACCCTTGCTACTTCCAGCACAAACAAGGAAAAAAAAAAAGAGGGAGGGGGGGAATCGTGGCAACCGAAGAGTATGCCGGGAGAAAAACAGACATACTTCACTGTTAATTCAGAAATCCGCTCAATTCGAAGATTTCTCACGGCCCTAGTGACTTCGAGTTAATGAGGTTTTGCTGATACTACTTGAGATATTCTATTTGAAATTTTTCAACCAAATTAGTATTTGCTTTGAATTCACCTTTAACAACCTAAAATTTACTATTCCTACATCTCTACATATTATTAATGCTATTCATGCTTATTTTAAAGTAAAGCATCACTGATATGTCATTGTTACGTTGGCACTGAACTTTGCTCTAATGCACACTATCGTTCAGTGCATATTTTATGCCATGTTTTCTTCAGTTATTGGTGTTTTAGTAATCGCTGAAAAATAAGCGTGGCATATTACCTTCATGCTTCAATTCAATTTAAGTCCCGTGCACTTAGGCAACATGAATGGTTTCTTTTTGCCAAATTTTATTTCGCAGCTCTCTGATGCTTCATATGGTGTACTTTTGTGCATTGAAACGGCCGCAGGAACTGGACGAGTGGAGGTTAACACACAACACCGAGCACTGACAGTGATGGGAAAGCTGCTACAATTGCCTTAAAGCTGCTACATTTCCTTAAAGCTGCTGCATCTATGCTACAAATTAGCACCATTGCTCCAACCTGCTATGTTTCGCCAAAGCATCTACATCCATGCTACAAAGAAGCAGAACTGCTCCAAAGCTGCTATGCATAGCCTCCGAGATTACCTGGCGATGCGCTGCTTCATCTCGGAGGCCACCGTCAAGGGGATTTTTCAGCAACACCAGGTAGCAGATAGGCTGCCGCCTCTCGTGTCATTCGTAGGCAGAGCCAATCCAATACAATTCAATGCGTGGGCGGCGTGGGTTCATTATTGTTAGCCCATGTGCCCACAGCCGCACGTGGCTGTAGTTGTGCGTGGGCTCACTGGGTAGTGTGGGTACCTTGTGGCACTGTCGTTTGAGCTGAGTGCAGTTGCGGCTCATTCCCAGTTTTCAGCTGAGTGACTTGTTGGGCGAGTTGGTTCATTCTTAACGAGCTTATCGTGCGAAAAAAAAAAAACACGAAAGAAGGACAAGCGCAAACTATCAACTAAATTGATTGGTAAAAGCGCACCATATATACACACAGGTCAACAAAGTCGCATGTCATATTGTGTGCCACTAAAATAAATTTTTTTTCTGCTAATATGACATCTGACTTGTTTACCTGTGTATATATATGTGTGCGCTTTACGAACAAACCCAGTTTTCGCTGTGTGTCACAGCTCGCAGTCGTACCGGTGGTGTAAACTCTCATTACGAGTATAAGCGGTGTTGTATGGTTGTACGACTACGCGCATCCTGCTTGGTGGTGGCGTCATGGCATCTCCACTGTCAAAGGTAAGTTCAATGTGGATCTCCTGAAAGACAAGAAGGCCAACCGTGATCTTTTTGAGGCGTAGTGTAGGGCTGGTGAAGGAGAAGAAGATGCTTTTTGTGTCATGTGTTGCCAAACAATCAACTGTGCGTTTCATGGTGTGACTGCAGTGAAGCGCCACTCGCAAAGCAAAAAGCACTTGGAGCGTACGAAGCAACTACGTGGTCCTGATGGGAAACTTAATCGACCAGCAGCAGTTCAAGCCATCCTGAATTTTTCAGCTGCATCCACGATTGCGTTGTATAATTATTTAAGGGGATTCCTTATAACTGGTGAGACACAGCTTCACCTCTGCACAGACCAATGTTTCCAGATTCGAAGGTGGGAAACTTAAGCAACCAACAGCAGTTCAAGTTGTCCTGAATTTTTCAACTGCGTCAACGATTACGCCGTATAATGATCGTGTCGCAGCCAGTGAAGCACTGTTTATCCTGGCTGTCTTACTTAAGAGGATTTCTTTTAGCTGAGGGAGACACAGCGACACCTCTCTACCGAGCAATGTTTCCAGATTCGAAGGTGGCAAAAGACTTTTCGTGTAGCAGAAAAATGTGTCGTGTGTCGTGTCGGATGGCCTTGGGCACTACTTTAAGAGCCTTGCGCTTAAAGAAGTCAACCGACTGAGTGTTTTCTACGGCATCTGTATATGAGGACATCTCTTCCGGAACAGCGCTGTCAGCAAATGGACATCATTACGCGATATTTTCCGATGCCCACAAAATAGTGATTGTGGAACACCTGCAGTCCTTTCGGTTAAATAAGGCAACTGCGAATGACCATCTAAGATCTGTAGATGAGGCTATTGCGAGTGTTCTCAGTGCTGGCTTCTTTGCATTTTTTAGTAATGGACGAAACGTAATGAAGTGGCTTAAAAATAAACTTATCCAGCCGCACGGTCCCCTGATAGATGTTGGGGAGTGTTCCCTACATATTGTGCACATCGCCTTTTCATGTGCCTTAGATTCATTCGGCACTGAGGCTGAAACTGTCGTAAATGATGTGTATTATTACTTCAAACACTCTGCTGCACAGTGATCCGGCTAGGAGCAAGGTCATTCTACATTACATGTTCGAAGTATTTGATGGCAAAACTTCCTCTTGAGAATCAGATGCTCCAACATGTCAGGTGCCTGCATCCGAGCTATCATAGTGTGGAATATTCAAGAGACTCCTTCAGATATCTTGCAAAGTGTGCACCCAGATGGTTCAACCCGGTGAAGTTTCATCTCTTCTTGATGAATTGACGGTGCTAAATTGAACCAGTTACATGCATGTTCTGACAAGCCACTGAACTAATACTGAATACTGAAATACTGAATACTGGCATCAAGAAATACTGATACTGGACAAATACTGAAATACTGAATACTGGCATCAATTTTCATCATGAAAGATTGTCAGGGTGGGCCAAAATATCCGCTATTGTCCAAGCTAGTTAAGCACTTCTATCACTTCCCATGGCAATGGCGAGCGATGTTGAGTGTGGATTTAGTGAAAACTCGAGTCCTGCACAACAGGTCAATCTTTCTTTCTCAAGCGTAAATGGCATACATCACATAATGTCATATTTAAAGAGGTTTGACAGTGACCCGTGCTCATTTCTAGGTCAATTCTGATGTCATCAAGGCTGTCAAGGGGCATCAAGACGGTATGCGCAGCGCCTTGCAGCTGAAGAGCGACCATCAAAGCGTATGCGAATAGATGCAGAGCAAAGTTCACCGAATGTGGAACTTATCAATGACCAAGCCAAAAAGGAAGTGGCTGAGAGAGAACGAATGATTAAAAATGCTGACTTGTTGATTCAGCGGGGCATGAAGTTGAAGAATTTCTCTGACATCGTGAGTGGGCGAGCATGGCTTGCTTAAGCACGAAAAAAAATGACCGAGTGTATGCCACACTTGATGTGGAGAAAAAAGGAAAGAAAGCTTAGTGTGTTTCATGCAAGTGACATTCATGCATTGTGTACCTGCGTCTTTGTGCCAACCAGTCATCATATATTGGTGATACTAGTCTTTGTTTAAAGCTTGCATTAGTTGCCGCCGTCATTGACTCATGTGCACACTGTATTTAATACTTCATTTTCTTGTTTTAATAAAAGCATTAAAATGCCATCTGACCTGTTTTTTTTTTTCGTTTCACAATCTGCTACAAAACAGGGCAGCTGCTACAAATCATCATTTTTCCTGCTACAAAACCTGATACATAACACTTTTGGCCATTCTCATCACTGCACTGGACGAACAACTAGTTCAATCTTATTTGTCAGAAAATATATACTGTTAAAGGGAACTAAGGAAAAGACAAAAACATGACCTGTCGCATGGTCAATGGTAATGACATAACAGTGAAAGTCCGCCTTCACAGTCACTGAAGAGCGCATTGCAGCCACACAAACAATGAGCTGGCAGGGTGCTGCTTGTCTAAGACCTAACAGTGCACGCATCGGCAGTGCTTGTGTTGTGTATTATCTCTACTAGGCCTGTTCCTGTGCTGTTTCGCATGTAAAGTTTAGGGAGACCCAAGAAAAAGCTGAATGCTTCCGCTTCTTCGCTAGGCAGCAACAATTTTTTCTGGCCTCTTCTGGAGTGCAATAACAACAAATGTCCTGTGCAGTTCAACCAAATACAGTAGCAAATTTCTGGGAAATACACAGTTTTTTCAGACCTAGTGGTCTCTGACTTTTGACACAGACTATATTGTATTGCATGTCTTTATTTATTAATGATTTGAGATTTACTTGCATCTTCTGGTAAGCCATCTTAAGCTTTAAAAAAAAAGGTTGCACAGGAACTTTGCCAGCAAACAATGGCTTAAAATCTAGAAAATGGGGCTTGCATGATTGTATGTCACCTTTAAGTCTTTGTGTTTTTGTGCTGTTTTTCATTTGCTTGCAGTATGCTTTCTTCAATGCTGCCAGGTTGCCAGAAAACTTGCAAATGCTTTGTTCATCATAGAAAGGAGTAAAATGAACGTTAAAATTAGTAGAAAAGCATGTCTGGTATTTATTCTCCTCTAACTGCTCATCGCAGGACAACCATGCTGGGGCAGCCTTCCTTCATGAATTCAACTCGCGCGTCCTACTGCAGACGGGAACACCACGGTGCTTAAGTTCCTCACCGAGCTGTCCACATTGGTGCTTGGAAACAAACTAAAAGAAGAGGTGTACTTAATGGGTGATGCTGTGCCTCTTGGTGCCTTGAAGTTTTCCACAAGAAAAACACCTGCACTTCTGTTGCTTTGCAAGCACAGCAAGCTTCAGATGAAAAACAATGCAGGGAAATTGAAAGGTTAGTGAGCAATCATAACTTGGTGATTTATCTCAAACATTTACTCTTTCTTCTGCTCATGTGGCCTCGTCCTAATGAGCAATGCGAAATACACTATACTCTCGATTATTCGCTCTTTAAATTGGAACTTTCGGTTAACTGAGATGTAATTTGAATGTTTGATTGACCCGGTCTGTCTGCAATGGGTTTTAAAGTCTCCTATCCAAATGTGCCATTGCATAAGTTAATTTAAATAATATTTTTTGCTTGCCTGGCTCGAAAATATATGCTGCCTTTCGTCACTTCTAGATGAATATTTGCATCGCTAGCACTCACAAAGAAGCCAATTGTCTGCTTGAAAAGCAGCTGAACTACCCCAACAACATGCACCAACAATCACATGTTGATTGCGGAAGAAAGAAAATTTTGAAAAACGGACGGTATGGCCTTGGTCTATTGTGTGTGGAATGCTTAAGTCACTTTCACCTCAGCGCACTGGCGCACTTGTGTTCCAAGATTGGGAAGTGGCGGCCAGCTGTCATGGACACAGCCCAATCTGTCCCTTAATTACGGATGGGTGCACGGGTCGATATAATAATGAGTACCAGTATTATTCCTGACATCTAAAAATTTTGCTGCTTGCAATCAATGAGAAATCTCTATGATGTTGCAACCTCCAGGAACAAATAACACAAACCAGTTTTATTTTTTGTCTCCCTCCCCCTCTCTTGCCACTTTGACCACCCCCAATTTTAAAGTCCCAGGTTGGTATGTGTGAACGTTCATTATAACACCAGTTGGTAAGTTGCTTTGAGTCAGTTTAAGAAAACTTCTATTTATTCAAAACTCTAATTCAAATTAAATTCAGGGGTCCTATCTAGGTTCAGTTATCAACAGCCAACTGTAATTGAAAGTAGCATTTTTCTTATCTCTTAAGAAATACGCCGGCCTCTTTGGCATGGCCAGGGCAGGAATGGGAACAGTGCATTCAGAAGAACAAGAGTTTGATGTGCGTAAAAGAGGGTCTGAAGGCAAAGCAGTGGGCCTGAATCAGCATTGTATTCTAAACCTCAGCGTCCTGAGGTAAGCTGGTGACATGTTAGTGTCCTCAGTGGGGTCAAAAGTTTGAGTTGTAATTATTTTTGTGTCGCTATAATTGGAGGGCCTCTGGAGTTGCCCTAATAAGCATATGGGTACAAGGTTGATTCCCATCCGTGGCAGCCACACTGCCAATGACACACAAAAAGAATTTACACATTATCTTCCCCTATGGGAAACAGGATGGGATGCGAAAACATCACAGGGGTACGACTCGAGTTCCATTTCGTATCACTTGGCAATACAACCCAGTAAAAGTGAGAGTTGAGTGAATTCATTGAGAAGAAGATGTTTTTACGGGGTTAGAACGCTGACGTTCCATTCAGCGTACCGAGCCCGTGTTGTTTCTGTAGAAGTTTCCAGCTGATGTGACGTTTACAATCGACTTTTTGGCACAAAGTTTGCAGTCGGCTTCCCTACGCTGACGTTTACGTTTTGCCTTCCCAAACCTTCCTCTGCTCCGCCACAGTAGCGCTGCCACGGCAACTAGCCCTGACGTTGATGTCGTTCACGGCTTTTTGCACACAGTTGCACAGAGGAGAGAATGACGGAAGCACAAGAAACGTGCGCTTATAGTGCGCTGGGACACTTGCGCCACCCTCAGGCATACCCTTACAGAAAGAGTGAGAGAGTTACATGCAATGATTTATAGTTCTGTACCTGTGGCGGGGAGAGGGGAGTACGCATTTGCATAGGAGAGGAGAATGCACTTGGGCAGTATGGGTGCGGATGCCGCAAAATGGACACTGCCTAAGCGTAAGATGCTTTCGTATCTAAAACGTCAGAGTAGTTTGTTTGAGCAGGGGTTTATTAAAGTACCAGAGATAATAAAGTAATATAGTCATTTGAAGTTGCCCACTTTAGAGATCCTCTTAATCATATTGGGGCTTTCGACGCTTGGAACTCCTCTTTCGATCCCTGCCGGCGGCAAGTTATCTTTTCGTCCACTTTTCTTTCTCCACATTTACATTGCACACACTGTAATACCATCCCCTATACTTTCCTTGGCATTATTGTCTGTTCTTATAATATTGTGTATAACAAAGAAATTGAGCTTTTGCCCCGCCGTGGCGGTCTGGTGGCTAAGGTACTCGGCTGCTGACCTGCAGGTTGCGGGATCAAATCCCGGCTGCAGCGGCTGCATTTCGATGGAGGCAGAAATGTTGTAGGCCCGTGTGCTCAGATTTGGGTGCACGTTAAAGAACACCAGCTGGTCGAAATTTCCAGAGCCCTTCACTACGGCGTCTCTCATAATCATATGGTGGTTTTGGAACGTTAAACCCACAAATCAATCAATGAATCAAGAAAATGAGCTCTTCAATTTACACTTCTTTCGTTCATTCATATTGGGGGTCTTGTTTTGGCAGACTTCATGCCTTCAGGTAGTATGCGAGGGATTATTGGTCAGCTGCCAGCTGGTGATAAGATCATGTGCTACATGACACCAACAAGCAAAAAAATGAGTGGTCCACACTCGCCGTAATGGCTACTGGCGGCTCTGACTGACGCTCCTACTTTTAAATGCGCATATGTACCCTATAAAGTGGACGGAGGGATGACCACCACTGTAGCTTAGGGTAAGAGCATCGGACACGTTATTCGAAGGACGCAGGTTCAATCCCTGCTGGCTGCAAGTTATCTTTTCGTCCACTTTTCTTTCTTCACATTTACATTTTAGTCGCTTGCAATAGTGTAGTATCCTGCGGCGGACGCGCCGCACAGAGAACACAGGGCACGGCGCTGGAGCACTCGCTGACAACACGTACGCAGCAGCCAGTAGCCAAGCAGGAACCCTTTATGTACACAAGCATGCTATTATTCACATATGTACAACACACTCTAGGGGCCAGCCAACCGGTTCGAAACCGGAACCGAAACCACGACACCACTTAATCCCCCCCTTGAAATGAAGATGATGTGGGGTCTTCCAAGCAACCAGCGCACAGTAATAGGATGCACATGATACTCAGAAAAGGAAGAAAATGTAAAACATAATAGCGTGAAGATATGTACAGCAAACACACGAAAATGCAAAGGTAATGCATACTTGAGAAGGAATGACATCATCACATCATCCTCCCCTTGAATAGAAAGCATGGGGGGGGGGGGGGGGTTCAACAAATATAATGTTAAAACTGTCTAATCAAAGGATTTGCAAACCGATCTACAACTTCTCAATGAAATTTTTTAGCTATCTTCGTCTCTTGAAAAGTTATTTAATTAACATATCTAATTAAACACTATTTGAGAACATAAAAATAGTCTAACTCCAGGCAACGGTGAGCAACATGCATTTAGTTGTGTCGTAATTACGTGTTCCGGCATATTTTTAAACTCTGGCTGAAGTTACATAGGACACCCCGTATATATCTATATATATATATATATATATATATATATATATATATATATATATATATATATATATATATATATATATATATATATATATATTGCCACCATTGATGAACGAGCCGCTGTGGCTCATACTCGTTTTGGGGCTGCGAAGCTGCGAAGAGGAAGAGAACATTTTCGTTCCTCTGGTTCAGGTTAACTCCTAGCCGTAGTCTTGTTTTGCTCGTGACATTACTGGTGGAGACGCTGGGTACGTGTACTTCGGCTGTGTCAGCCATCTTAGAGACAGCTACATCTCCCAGAGCAAGAAGCAGCCGCCGCCTGCGTGGGTTACCCCCTGAATTTGGTCCATTGGCATCGACAACCAGAAATATGGCAACTTCGCTATCAAGCCAGGCGGTCCAAACCAGCGATGCCCACGGTTCTCTTCTCGACGCATGTTTTCATGCGGCACAGACACCAAAGCCGTTCCATGGAGACATCTTCGAGGATGTTGATGACTGGCTCGACCACTTTGATCGGGTTGCCACTATCAACGAATGGGATGATGTTCGCAAGCTGCGCCGAGTTTACTTCTACTAGGAGGATTCTGCGAAGACGTGGTACGAGAACCACGAGGCTTCTTTGCAACCTGGCAAGAGTTTAGCCGACAGCTTCGTGACGCCTATCGCAACACCGAGAGAAGGAGAGGGGCTGAACAAGCCATATCCTGCAGAAACCAGCGGCCGGAACGAAACGAGTATTCATGTTTGTCGAGGCATGCTTCGCTCTTCAAGCGCACGGACTCGGCCAGCGGAGGAAAAGAGTGCGGCATTTGATGAGCGGAGTAAAGAACAGCTTTTTGCCGGGCTCGTGCACAATCCACCGACGACAGTCGCCAGTTCATCAGTGAGGCAACCACGATAGAACGTACTGCTGCAGCAGCGGTCGTCAACAATACGAACGCCATTTCCCGGCCACCGCATGTTCTATCGGCTCTGACAGCGAGAGACAGCCCTCGCAGACTTCATTCGGAGTATCGTTTGGGATGAATTGCGACAGCTTCAGGCAGTGGGATCCCATTCACCTGTGTCAGCCCTGCGCGATGTGATTAGACAAAAAGTCCGGCAGGCCGCCACACCCTTGGCCCAATCGCACCACCGATTCCCGAGGCCCCAGTCCTGACATATGCAGCGGCATTGCGATCCCCTGCACCACTGGCTACAGATCCTGCTATGCGGCCAAGGTACCAGGCTATGCAGCCATTCCACGACAATGCTTCGAGCCCGCTCTCGGCTCAAGGTTTTCGAGCAACCCACCTATCTGCCATCTATCTATCCTGCCTATCACCTATCTGCCTCAAGGACAAAGTGGTAGCAAGGCAAGCACGTAGCGCACCTCGGATAACCGTCCGCTCTGCAATCACTGCGGCGAAGCGGGTCACGTATACCGGAACTGTCAATACTGGCAACTAGGTCTCCGCGGCTTCCACCCTGATGCTCGATGCCCGTGCTACAGTAAGCGCCGCCGCGAAATCGAAGCCTTTCTCACGGGCCAACGAACTCCTTCGACTATTTAGCACCGCCAGTCGAGATCACCATCGCCTCACCGGTTTACGTCACCCAGTTTGCCCTCATCGTCTTTCGCTCCTTTCAGGAGCCGTCACCAAGTCCCTGCAGGGTAAACTAGGAACAGCGACTACTGGGTGTGAACTCGCGGCCCAGTGAACTGTAAAAGACCCTCCTTCGACGCAACCACCGGACGAGGACCATTCCGGTTTTGCAGTGTTCTCCGACAGCAGAAAGATCGTTTCTGCCGAAATCGCTGTCTTCGTCGACAATCATGCTGTCAACGCCCTCGTCGACACCGGTGGCGACTATTCCGTAATGAGCGCCACACTGGCATCTGAACTGAGGAAGGTTACCACACCGTGGCAAAGACCCCAGTTGCGCACGGCAGGTGGCCATCTGGTGATGTCTACTGGTATGTGCACGGCACGCATTTGAATACGTACATCGACATTTGGGGGCTCTTTCCTCGTATTGCGCATGTGCTCTCGGCCAGTCATTCTAGGAATGCACTTCCTTCGTGACGACGGTGCCGTCATCGACCTTTGTGAATTACTTGTGTCGTTCAAGGATCCTTTTTGCGCTGCAACTGACAGTACACAATTCCGGAAAAGAGCGCTCCGTGTTACCGACGATTCTCTGACTCTCCCACCTCAAAGCAGGCTCTTTGTCAAAGTAGAATTGGGACAGGACGTGTCTGACGCGGTAATTGCGGAGGCCAATTTTTTTCTGCTTATTTCACGACAAATATGTCGCCCGAGGAATCATTCAGCCTAGCAACAGGCATGTTCACCTGCTGGTCACGAACTTCAGTGACGAGTATCGCCACCTAACGAGACACACTGCCATTGCATATTGTGAAGAACTTGCCGATGCCGATGGTTCTTATACGTTAGCTTCATTTTCATTGAATGGCCACTCTGACGAGCCCTTCGCGAGCACTCTCGACGTAAATGACAGGCTATCTTTGGCTTAACGACTATCTTGGCTTTTGCGTATACTCGGCTCATTTCAAGACTGCTTTGCCACTACGTCAAAGGTTAAGCAGACACCACTTGCTCAGCATCGTATCTTCATGGAACCCCCCGAGAGACCTATCCGACAACAGGCCTATAGAATGTCGCAAAAAGAGCAAGACGCTATACGTGACCAAGTCCAGCACATGCTTCAGGACGACGTCATCCAGCCATCGACCAGTCCCTGGGCTTCGCCAATTGTGCTAGTAAAGAAGAAGGACGGTGCGTTGCATTTTTGCGTTGATTATTGTAAACTGAACAAGGTCACCAAAAAGGACGTTTATCCTCTACCCCGAATAGATGACTCATTGGACTGTATACGCAACGCTAAATATTTTTCCTCCATGGATTTGCGTAGCGGCTTCTGGCAAATCACAGTGGATGAGCGCGACCGTGAAAAGACTGCGTTTATTACTCCCGACGGCCTGTACGAGTTTAAAGTGTTGCCTTGCGGTCTATGCTCAGCGCCAGCCACTTTTCAAAGAATGGTAGATACGGTTTTCATGGGGCTCAAATGGCAATCATGTCTTGTTTACCTTGATGACGTCGTGGTTTTTGCAGACACGTTTGAACAACACGTCTAACGCCTTCAGGCAGTTCTTTAGGCAATCAGAACAGCGGGGCTTTCTCTCAAACCCGAGAAATGTCATTTTGTATATGAGAACTGAAGTTCCTTGTTCACGTTGTGAGCCATGCCGGCATCCGCCCAGACCCAGAGAAAACCCTCGTCGTTGCCGCCTTTCCTGTGCCCACAAATAAGCGCGACCTACGCTGATTTCTGGGGCTCTGTGCGTATTACAGGCGCTTTGTCAAAAACTTTTCGAAGATTGCTAAATCCCTCAACAACCTTACAAAAGACGGTGTTTGTTTGTTTGGGGTCCCGATCAGTGCCAAGCGTTCGACACCCTCCGAAACCTCCTTCAGGCTTCGCCTGTACTGGGTCATTCTGACGAAAGCGCCGACACGGAATTACATACTGACAGCAGCAACGTTGGACTAGGAGCAGCATTAGTTCAGTGGCATAATGGCGTAGAGCGCGTGATTGCTTATGCAAGCAGAACGTTATCCCCAGCGAAGAAAAACTATTCGGCAACCGAAAAGGAATGCCTCGCTGTCGTCTGGGCCATAACAAAGTTCCGCCAATACTTGTATGGCCGCCCACTCAGGGTAGTTAGCGACCACCATTCCCTTTGTTGGCTCACAAAGCTCAAAGATCCTGTGTCTTGCACGATGGAGCCTTGGGCTACAAGATTTCGATGTCACTATCATCCACAAATCTGGGCGCAAGCACACCGACGCCGACTGTCTCTCACGTGCACCGGTCGAAAATGCCAACACTGACCTTGAAGACGACGAAACTTTTCTTTCTGCCGTATCAGCAACCCGCTTGGCTGAGCAACAGCGTCATGACTCGGAGCTCTTCCCGTTCATTGACTACCTGGAAGGACGCAATTCCCACCCTCCACGAAGCTTTGCACGCTCACTATCCTCCTTTTGTTTCCGCGATGGAGTGCTTTATAAAAAGAACTTTCATCCTACACAAGCTATGTATCTGCTTGTTGCACCAACTACGCTACGTGGTGACACACACACGCACACACACACACACACGTCTTTCTTCTATACCTGCTCCAAATTTGAATTTTAGTTTGCCAAAAGTAACATTGTGCTGCTTCCAAAATTGCTCCAAATTTTATGTTGGCTTTTGCGCCTCTGCTTCTATGAAATTCATCAGGGAAGAGGGAATTAATATCTACTGCTTTCATGTATGCTGTCTGATCTGACTTTTTTTTTCTCCAATTTATTACCTTTGGCAGCCTTCTAAAACAGTGGGAATCATTTTCAAGTATACTGCTGCGAGAGTTGGGTCTTCTAGCAGAAAAGTAAGTTTTCCTTGTGTTTCTATTTGTCTTGCTAGAGATGGATGACTAGCCGTGTTTGCATAGCCTTATTTCGAGAACTCAATAGGTACAATGAGCTAGCTTCATAAATCATTGTCGTAACCCAGGGTTATTGTTTATTGGTGATTTGTTTAAATTAAGAAGTATAGTTATCCTAGTTCCTTTAGCATGTTCGTTTTTCCTTTTTCTTTCATTTCTCATATTAGCCCTCCTCTGTCAAGTGTAATTTGCATTTGTTAAAGGGCCAGTCAACAGGCTCCAAAATGCACATGAAAAGCTCGCGCTTTTTTCCTGCACGTGACCAACCTCCTTCCACACGCAGTGACGTCAACTCGGCGTTCGCTGGCGTGACGCAGCACGCAGCTCGTCGATTGGTCTAAACCAGGTCTCAAAAACAGTAATGAAGTCAACGTCACTGATCACCGAGTTGACGTCACTGCGTGTGGAAGGAGGTAGGTCATGCGCAGGAAAAATGCGCGAGCTTTTCGTGTGCGTTCGGAGCCTGTTGACTAGCCTTTAAGAGGCTTCAGCAGTGCAGTACTACATAGTCAGACCTTGACAGAACAAACCTCCATTTAATGAAATCATCATTAATTTCATCTCGCAATCCATAGCTTCATTGAAGTTTTTTTCTTGCTATTTCTTGCAGTTCATGTTTAAGTGGGCCATGACACAGCTCCCAACAATTTATGGTTTTCAGTAAAAACTAGAACTAGAGGGTCTACTATGCCTTTATAGGTATGTAAAGTGGGCCATAAGAGAACATTTCAGTGCAACACGGGCTTTATAAATCGCTAGATGTAAATCCAACGTACCGCTGATGACCACCTTTTTTTCCATGGTACTTGTGACGTCATGTGTTAGAAGAAGTGATAGGTCACCTTCTACCAAAGTTTCAGTCAGCGCTAATCGTTCAGTTTCATCACTAAGTTGAAGAAAGCTAAAATATCTCAATTTCATGCACTGCTTACCACGGAATAATATTGTTTACGGTAATGCAGAGGCTCGCACAGCTAGCTGCTTCTTATTTCACGGCTTGCGAGTGCGTCACTGTTGCCCAAACTCTCATTAACAAATGAAACATTGGTAAAGAGAAACTTACCTTTTGCAGGTGACTTTCTACACAGCAAAATTGCTGGTGAGAAAGTAATTAAGTTTGAAGCGTTCTGTGGTAAGGCTTTTTGTTGCGTAAAAGTAAACTGTGCTCTCTTACGCCTGCAAGTCCACACCGAACGTCAATGCCTCTGCAAAAGGCAATCTCTGTCAAGGCCAGCAATCGAGCCCGCCTGACGCGAACCAACTCAACGACGTCATCAAGCGGCGGCGGCGGTCTGTCACGCAACGTACCGTGAACCTGTTGAAGCTATCGGCGCCTTCCAGTCTGGCGAGTCTTACGCAATGCGTGGGAACGTAATTTGTCCTTGGCTGCAACCGCGCGCAGCAATCGGCGCCTTCGAGTCTGGCGAGTCTTGCGCAACGTGTGGCAACATCCATCGTCTTTGGTGCAACCCTGCGCAGCGGCGGACCCCATTGGAAGATTCCGACATCACGGCCAGCGGCGCTTCTGGTGGGACATTTGGTTACTCAAAGGATCCACCTGGTGCCCATGAAAAAAGCCCTGTGGCGTGTCACAGCAGCTGACCTATGCGTCAGAGAAGCCTCTCGTCGATTCGAGTCCCTTTGTAGTCGGCGCGCCCAGTGTCCTTGGCCGCGGCGAGTTTCGTGGTGCCCATCGTAACCTCGTCGGTGGTGTGCCTCTTAACAGCTTGCGAAAGAAGACGTCTCGGCTCTTCGAGTCCCTAAACTGTCGGCCCCAGTGCTGAATTTGTAATGCCTCTATTTCTTTGCTGTACATAAACTTTGCCTTAACTCACCGTCGTCTCGTCCACTCGTCTATCAGCTCTGTGCAGAAGCAGTCGCAAGCTGAGTATCACACGCTATTAAACGGCTGGTGACCGTGTCGGCAGAGTTCATAGCAGTGGCTCCTTCGGGACCGTGTTTGCGTCTCGTCTTCGTAACAGTGGTTGGCAGCTGCGGGATCGGCCGGCGTCAGTAACATCGATGCGGTGAGTGCCTGATGTTTTCCCCTAAGTTCACCAGACTACTCTAGCACAGGTTATAGTAGTTTAGAGAAAGGCTGTGTGAAGCATTAGAGTGAGCTTCGATTGTTTCAAGCCAAGTCGAAGTGCTTTGAAACCAAAGTTAATGCGGAGGGTGTAAACACGGAAGTGTTCAAAATTGCTTGCGCATCTTGCTAGTAGACTTATAGTGAGTATGGCAAGTAGATTCTTAACAGGGGCAAATAGCAAGAGGCTAGTGTGAACCATGGAGAACCTTAAAGTGAAGAAACTCATCGAAACTTGTGAGGAACTCTGCATTACTTTGGGCCGTGTGAAACGAAAGCGAGCGATCCTTGAGGTCATGAAGGATGAAGGAGTGTCGGCTGAGGAAGATGATGAGGCCTGGGCGGATATCAAAGCACGCCACGAGGAGGCTGAAAGGCGAGAACGTCGTGAGCGTGAGGAAGCCGAGAGACAAAAGCGCCTCGGGTTGAAACGAATAGAATTGGCAATCCTGCAGTGTTCGCAGGTGCCTAGCGTAGCTTCTGCGACAGTTCAGGTCAGCGGTTATAAAATTTGGGATCGACTGCCACCATTCGTAGTAGGCGAGGACATGGCGAAGTATCTCGTCAAGTTTGAACACGTCTTTGAGCGAAATGCTTTGGAGCCATCTCTTTGGGCGCAGAACCTGTTAGCTCTTCTTCCCGGGAAATTGTCCGACGTGATAACATGCTTGTCGAGGGAATCGTTTGAGAGCTATGACGAGGTTAAGGAAGTGCTCTTGAGACGTTATAAGTTGTCACCCGAGGCTTTCAGGCAAAGGTTCCGGTATGCTAAAAAGGGGAATGAGTCACACTTTGACTTTACGTTTTGTCTCAAAGCCGATTTAATTGAATGGCTCAAGGGCGAAGGTGTTTATGACGATCGCAATAAAGTGGTAGAATGCATTGCATTGGAGCAATTCTACCGCTGCATCGAGGAGGATGTCAAGCTTTGGCTGCAGGACAAACTTGGTGAAGTACAGCTAAACAAAGCAGCAGAGTTAGCTGAGGAGTATTATACTCGCCAAAAGTTGCATAGCAGGGCAGTGCGCCTTGAAAAGGATAAAAGAAAAAGGGCTTTTCAAAGAAAACTGATCAGCGGAAACCCACTACACACCGTAATTTCAAGAAGGACCCGTTTCTTACAAAGGATACTGTAGGGGAAGGGCGAACAGAAGTGGAGAAATCGAGTGAGGTTCATAAACAACGCACTGATACCAAACGGGCGTTTGAATCAGGAAAGCCGCTAATCTGCTACAACTGCAAAAAAGAAGGGCACATTGGGAAAAACTGTAAGCAAAAGTTTGCTTTCGCAACAATCTGAGAATCGGAAAAGAACATGTGATTGTTAGACCTGCATCTCCAAGAAATTAGTTTGAATGGAAAAACGTGTCAAGCACTTCGGGACTGAGCGGCAACCATGGACATTGTTCATCCTTCGTTGGTGTCTCCAGATGACTTTACAGGAGAATAATAAAGTTTTACCACCACAGGAGAATGCGCGTGGATCAGACAAGTCGCCGAGGAGCAGAGTGCTTGCTTACCGATCGCTACGGTTGTCATTGAAGGCCCGTTCGGTAAGCTTCGCACCGAAGCGGCTGTGTCTGCCGCGCTCTTCGATCGTTTTCGTTATCCTTTTTCCAATAACTCAAAGCAGCTACTCAAAGAGCAGGATAAATCGTTCTTCTCCAACTTAGCGTACATGGCCCTCACGCGATCGCAAGCGCGGAAGCTTTCGCAGGAACTTGATCTTGTTCAATGTGGTAAAGCACAAAGTGCAAAAGCTGCTGATCTGTGTGACCTTGGCGGTGAGTCGATGGAACCTCAGACATGAAATTCTCTGTGTGAGTCATTTGAGCAGTCACTCGAGTGGCCAGTCACCGAAGCGACTGGCGTGGTCTTTGTCGGCGGAGAAGACGACATGGCGCCATTGAGTCAGAGCGAGAAGGGTGCAACGCTCTCGCCTGTAGCGGAAAGTTGGAGTGAGCTGTCGAGGGTTGATCGAGAAACGCTCATTCGAGAACAGCGTGAGGACCTCTCAATTAAAGCGTTAATGGAAAGCATAAACTTGGGAAAAAAGAAAAAGAATGTTTCCTTTTTTCAGAAAGCAGGGCTCCTGTATCGGAGCTACACAAATGCGCAAGGTCGAACGTATGAGCAGCTCTTGGTGCCACAAATGTATCTTCGCCAACTATTGGAACTGGCGCATGAAAACGCGTGGGACGGGCATCTTGGCATTAAAAAGGCCAACGATAGAGTTTCCCTTGAGTTTTATTGGCCGAAATGCTGGAAGGATATCGAAGACTTTGTACGCTCATGCGACACTTGCCAGAGAGCGGGGAAATCCATGGACAAGTGGAATTTACCCATGAAGCTTGTGCCAATTATCACAGAACTTTTTCGGCGCCTAGTAATCGATATCGTCGGACCGTTGCCAGAGTCAAGGCAAGGTTGTCGGTACATCCTGACGGCCCTCTGTGTAGCCACAAAATTTCCGGAAGCGATACCACTTAAGGAGCTCAATTCCCCTTATGTCGTGGATGCAGTGCTATCTATATTTGCACGCGTCGGATTTCCTTCTGAAATCCAAATCGACAATGGTAGTGTCTTAACCAGCTGCCTTACCTCTACCTTAATGGATAATGTGGAATAAAAGTAGTGCACAGCTCTATCCATCACCCGCAATCTAATCCGGTAGAGTGTATGCATTCCGTTCTGAAACGGATACTGAGAGCTCTTTGCTACGAGCACAAATGCGACTGGGAAGCGTGTATTCCTCCCGCTATGTTCGCTTTGAGATCAGCTCCTCATGAAAGCACTAGTTTTAGCCCTGCAGAGCTTGTGTATGGCAGGAGTTTGAGAACACCATTGGGAATGCTAC